TCCAATACTTCCTAATTAAAATTATAAAACCATGAGGAAGTTGGATTTTAAACAGAAAATCTCTTTTAATGTGGCTGTTTGCATTTTTCTAATACTCCTGAGAAATTGATTTTGCTCTCATATCTGATGTGGTCAAAACTGCCTTTCCTCAACTGGTTAAAATTTGGACAATCTCTTTATGTCTACAGCATTTGCTGCAATAGCAAACATGATTCTGAAAATACCTGGGCTAAGGCAGGAGTTGTCATAACCATAGCTTGTTAAAATAAAGCAAATACACACACACACACACAATGCAAAAGCCATGGTTTACAAATCAGAGTGTTTATAAAGAAAGTGTTTATAAACACTATGACAGCCTAAAGTCAAAGACAGGGAAACATATTCATCAGTTGCAAAGTGTGAATTCAGCATGTAAGATTACCAAATGATATGGAAAACAGCTTTCAGAGCAATCCACTATTCAAATTTTATGCTGGAACAAGCCTAAAATTGTCAGGCAGCTGCATGTTGTGGTCACATATTGTGGCTTTCTTATTTTCATGGAATCAATACATATTCTTGATCTCTTTTATTCCTCTGTTTGCAAATTACTACCAGAAAGTGGAACTTCCTTTGTTTTCCCCACTTGTGTGTGGAAGGGAAATTTTTCTTTTCACCAACCAACAATACTTAATGCCAGGGTATTTTGCTTCAGAAATAGATAGCTTGGAACATGTTATCATCAATTTGGATTTAAGAAAACATACTGGATCGGAAGAAACTTCTTGATTTACATTCTCGGTCCCCTCTTGTCCATTCTATAAAGATTCAGATGTCAGATTTCTCCTTTACTGGGACTTCTGATGTCTTTTTTTTTTTTAGTGCTAGAAGATGGAAGCCTTTAACCACAATATTCCTTTTCTGTTCCTGTCTCTCAAGCTTTTGTTCCTGTCTCAAATAAGCAAATACTAATATTTGGAAAAGCCAAAGATTGAGGGGAATAGCAAACATGAGGCTCTGTCTCCGCAGCGTTGTGTCTAAGTTTGAACTGACTTATTATTCTCTCACCTAATAGTGCTTGAGAATTTCAGTTCCATGGAGCAATCAGTTTTACAAGGCTTTGAATGGCTTGCCTCTCTTTCTATATTTGGACAAGCATTTTTTTTGCCAGTGGCCCAGTTAAAATGACTACTGTACTTAGAACCACAGAACTATAATTATGACTTTCTACTGCAAAAGTTACTGCAACATCTTCCATTACCATTGCTTTGTGATGAAATAGGGAAATTTTCAGGAAAAGGTATGGGAGAAGCAATGTATAACGTATTGCAAATGATACAACTTGCATACTTGTATCAGATGTCGCCATGCAAGTTCTAGGTCAGGGGTGTTAAACTCGTGTGATGTATCGGGACATTTTTTCTCCTTCGTTAAACCAGGAGTGGGCGTGGCCAGTGCGTGACGCGTCCGGCCCGCAGGCCCTGAGTTTGACGCCCCTGTTCTAGGTGGTTTTGTTTGCATGGTGATATTATGATGCATGTTGTCATTTTCAGACAGCTTAGTACAGATTCGGTTTCTTCCTTAAAATTGTCTTTCAAACACTTGTCCATTGCCTGATTTCATATTTTGCAACTAATTATGAGTAACTAAAAATCATGGGGATAAACTAATTATACATTTCAAGCAAAGCATAATGGCACTCGAGATGTACGCAACTTGAAACTATTTGACACATTTAAACTAAAAATATCATTTAATTAGGAAATCAAGTAATGTTCCATGGGTACCAATTGAATTAACATGGCAGAAATTTAATGTTTATTACTTCAAATCTGTACTTGAATACTTAGAAGGTTAGAAAAAATAGAAACATGAACTTTTTCTTTGATCATCATTTTAAACATAAGGATATATTTTAGTACAAAATACATGTGCAAAGTTCATGTACATGCACCCCATTAAGATAATGGGCCCCAGTAAACCTATTACTGCTGAGTATGTTTTATACTAGCCATAAGTTCCAACAGGATTTCAAACAAAGTTCAAACATTCTTTTGTAAACTATTTACATAAATCAATCTTCTCCATTAAGTTCATTGACAAGATTGCTAAATGGCCTTCATTTCGGATGGGAATTTCAGAAGTTTTTAAAACTCTTAGAGCAAAATAGATTCCTTTGAAAGTCCTGTACAAGTTATTTGGAATATGAATTCAGAGATTCTCAGGGTGGTGCTCTATAGTTTAAAACAGTTTTTAAATTTATTTCACCAAGTCATCTAGAATTGCTTCTGAAGTTAATCAAAAGGTGGCACTACTCCACATATAAGCTATATCTTTTCTAGACAGGTTATAGACATCCATTTTGACAGCAAAATCAATTTAGACTTTTTGGAATTTTTTTGGATTTTTTTTTTTTTTTTGAAGAATGAGTAGTGGAAGCTTTGAATCAAACTCCAAGTTGATCATCAGTATAAACATGGTTAACCATCAGTATAAAGGTTAATTATCGGTATAGCAGGTTAATCATCAGTATAAGCTTATGTCTAACATTCAACAAAAATTTTAAAATAAATAAAATGAATAAAAAGAATAATTATAAAGAAAACAACAAACAAAAGAACTAAAAGGGGAGGCTCAATTTTTCTGCCATTGACTTTCTATGTTTCCAACAGGTGAACATCATCCAATAATCTGTCACAATGAATTATTTATTCCACCCATCTCACCTAGAGGTGATTCTATATGGCTTTATAGTCATAAAAACAAGATAAAACATTAAAACATGGGTATTTGTCTTGGGTCATATATAAAATATATAGTTAATGTAATAAACAAATAACTTTCTTAATGTTTTATATTGTGGAACCGCATTGTAGTTGTCATAGTCGCATGCAGCCTGCGGGCCACAGGTGGGACACACCTGCATTAAAACAAATGTTAATTTTGTTAAAACAAACAAATCAATGCAATACAAGAAATTTAGTTAATTTCTATTATCCACCATCTATTATCGCAATGGGTCGGACATGACTTCACAACTAACAGCAACAATTATCCACCAGTTTTTTTTATGACAAGGACCAGAAATCTAAAATGCTTTGTTCAGCAGTATGAAACATAAGTGGCAAATTGCTCTAACAGAAAAATCAATACAATTAGGATCTCTGAAAAATCCTGCAATTTCAAGATCTGTTGTCAATGATTTTGCCTTTGTATAGTTATCACTTTGGAAAGGAATACTGTATAAGCATGCTTACAACTTTTTCAAGGTCACTTATGATTCTATATCCATACATAATTTTTATTTTCCTTTTCAGTTGCCTTTGCTTTTGTCCCTTGTTCCTTTTTTTACATTTTTGTATTTGTTTAATAAACCAAAATATATTTGAACTATGTACACACTTAATTTCCTTTTTTTCTTCCTGCTTAAGGAAATGTTGCCCTTTGGGAAAAATCCTAGCAGTGTGTTTTCAAATAATTTTTATTTGCATTTCTATTTCTAGACTACACCGTTGAACAATACCTCGAGGGGATTATTATCTTAAAAGGCTGAGAATAAATATGAACAACTGTAGGATTAGCTTTTTTAATGTAGCACTTTATGCTTTTGTGGATTTGCTTCTTTCTTTGTTTGCATGTGTGTGTTTTTTTAAAGTGATTTCACTAAAATTCCCAAAGTTCTGTGAGTAAACCAGGTATCAACTGGATTTCTGGAATGAAGGCACAACTCAGTCTAGAATGATGCTATAGGCATTATTTGCTGTCGCCATTCCCCTTCCATGCATCTGATGAAATGGACTGTGAAATTCCCAAATTCTCCTTCGTTTTAAAAAATGGAGACACTTCAAAGTGAGTACCTCTGAGCTTCTGTGAAACATGTCCTCCTTCTAAACAGAATCCATGGCCAGATGACAGAATAGAAAGGGAACTCCTCAAATATTCAGACACTAAACTGGCAGGAATAGACAAGACTCCAGATAGATCTAAACAAATTTGAACATCAGGCCCTATCTAACAAAATGACATTCAATGTAGAGAAAAATAAGGTTTTACATTTAGGTAAGAAAACCAAATGTATAGGTACAGATTAGGTGAAACCTGGCTCAATAGCAGTAACTATGAGACGGATCTTGGCATCCTAGTGTGTGGCAGCAGCCGAAAAAGCCAATGCAATCCTAGGTTGCATTAACAGAGGGATAGAATCAAGATCGCATGAAGTATTAGTACTATGTATTATGACACTTAGAATACTGCATCCAATTTTGTTCATATTATTAAAAAGTTGAGATTCTGGAAAGAGTACAGAGAAGAGTAACAAAGATGATTAAGGGGCTGGAGGCTAAAACAGTTGCAGGAATTTGGTATGTCTAATCTAGTGAAAGGAAGGACTAGGGATGGTATGATAGCAGTGGTCCAATATCTAAGGGGTTGCCATAAAGAAGAGGGGGTCAACCTATTCTCCAAAGCACCTGGAAGCAGCCCAAGAAGCAACGGATGGAAACTAATCAAGGAGAGAAGTAACCTAGTCCTAGAACGGAGGAGAAAAATCTTAGAACGATTAACCAGCGGAACGGCTTGCCTTCAGAAGTCCTGGGTGCTCCATCATTGGAGACTTTTAAGAAGAGACTGGCAGCCATTCGCCTGGAGTGGTATGGGATCTCCTGCTTGAGAGGGGGTTAGACTAGATGATCTCCAAGGGCCAGTCCAACTGTTATTCTATTATCCAGAGCGCCCCGTATGAAAATGTACTTGTTTTAGTTTTAAAAAATGTACTCGTTTAAGGTTAAAATAGAAAAAGACACACATATTTGCTTTTGGTTAAAAGGGGTGGGAGGAAAGATAGCCAGGACCATCTCTCCCCCTTTCTGCCATCACTAAAAACCGCCTCTCCAAGTACGATCAAGAAGCGGCCACCCGGCACGCAGGCGGAAGCAAGTCTGCCGCAGAACGGAAGTCGCTTTCACTCAGGGCGGAAATAATGCCGGAGTTGGGCGGGGCCAAGAGAAGCGCCTGGGCGGTTGGCTGGAACCCAAAATGGCGGCTGGGATGTACCTGGAGCACTACCTCGATAGTAAGACCGGGCGTGGGATTCGGCCGGGAGGGAGGCCGCGAAATGCCGGCAGACGTCTCGATTTCGTGTCGCTGGGTGGGCGCATGACATCAAGGGGCCGCTTCTTTGCATGTTCGGGCCATTCATGGGTTCAGCGGCGGAGAGAACCTGTTCAGGAGGGCACTTCGGCTCATCATGGTTCCCCGGTGGGTGAAGCACGATCTGGAAACCCCTGATGAGTGTCTTCCCGCCTCTCGCGGTTCTAAGGGGAAAGGGCGGTGCTGCGCCCTTTTAGTCGGGGGCGTTATTCCTGGGAAAGGTGTGATGAGGGAAGAGGGTAGTAGGGACACGCTAGGTATTGTCCCTGATCCAGTTTACATGCTGAAATGGAGCTTTCCAAGAGCAGCCGAAAGATTTGCAGGAAGTTATTCAATCTCTTTGTTCAGTTTGGCTCAACTTTAAGATATATTGTAGTGTAATCCGGTTCTAAGGGATGGAGTTGCATGCCTCCTTCACTTTAAAAGCAACATTCAGTCTATATGGGTGTGCCTGTGCAGATCAGATCTGTGTTTCATTTATTTGAATTTATCAGCTGCCCAGCTCCAGTGGACTCCAAGCAGTGATAGTTGTTGTACCTTAAATACATGTACTTTGAAGGCTAAAATAAGGAAAGAGGTAGAATTACCTAAAGGATAAGTCAGAAGAAAGCACATTTTGTAAGAGATGCTGGACATTTACAAAACAGTTTGGGGAGTAAAATAGACATTCCTGCTTCAGTGAATCAAATGTACTATAAAACAGACTCTGCTGTAAACATTTTTTTAAATTTTTGCTTCAGCAGACTAATGGCAGAAAACCTAATTGAGCCAGTGTTTGTATACATATAAGCAAATACATACTAGTCACAGCTAGGATTGGCATTGTGCAGTATGTTTAGTGAGAAATGTGTGTCTCATGTCATTTAAGACCCAGATAATCATTCCGGTGTTTTCTCATACATGATATTTGAATATAAAATTAAATATCTGGCAGTTCATTTTCTACTGACATATGAACGCCCATTAGTATAGGTGTTCATATGTTAACATGTTAAAGAAAATAGCACAATGTCCCCTTTGGCTGATCATCTTTCCTGTCTTTGGGTTCCTCCTTTTTAGGTATTGAGAATTTGCCTTTTGAACTCCAGAGAAACTTTCAGCTTATGCGAGATCTAGACCAACGAACAGAAGGTTAGTAAGAGATAGGATGAGTGGAAGACAGTAATTAATTTGGAGTAATTGTGTGTCACACATTTTTTTTTTAAAAAAGTGGATTTTAATGTCAATTAATGTTACTGTGGAATTTATGGTAAAATAGTCTTCATCAGACTTCTTTCTGCTTCTTCTAGATCTTAAATCAGAGATTGATAAACTGGCTACAGAATATATCAGCAATGCACGGACTCTGTCTTCAGAAGAGAAAGTGGGTCTTCTAAAACAAATCCAGGAGGCCTATGGGAAGTGCAAGGAGTTTGGTGATGACAAAGTACAATTGGCTATGCAGACATATGAAATGGTATGAGATATAGCAAGAAAACAATGTTATAAAATTTCATTCATTCATTGGATTTCATTCATTTTATTACTCGTTTTCAGTTATTAGTGTAACCAGCTTCTTCTTTCTTCTATTTGCAGAATCTCCATCCTGCTAATGAATTGACTCTCATCTCAAATAATATTTTTGTACTCCTATTATGTCTACAGGTAGATAAACACATCCGGAGGTTGGATACAGATCTTGCCCGGTTTGAAGCTGACCTAAAAGAGAAACAGATTGAATCAAGTGACTATGACAGCTCATCTAGCAAAGGCAAAAAGAGTGAGTTCTGCAGAGATGGGGGTGGGGTGGGGAGAGAGTAAGGAGAATTATGAAAAATCAAGTACCTAATCACAATTAGATTTGAAAATACTGTAAAAGACGAATAAGGAGAATATTAGAAATTTAACCTGACTCCACTTGATAAAGTAAGCTGCAGCTCACAAACACTTGCTTCTGTTAATAAAATTTGTTACTCAGAAAAGGTACTACCAAATTCCTCTCTTTGCTACAAGAGGGGGAAAGGGACTGCAGGTTTTCAAGATTCTGTTCCTATAGTCTTTGCAGTAAAGTACAGTTCCAATTAAATTCCAAACTATTTTTGCCTGGACCAGTCTCCAAGGGCTAACTTTCAGTGAGCTTCTGTGGCTGAGGATGGACTTGAACATGAGTCTCCCTGGTACCAGTCTGACATTTAATAGCTATACCCTTAAGTAATACCGTTGGTTTAAATATGAACCCCAATTTTGAGGAAATATTTCGGTATCACTATGAAAATAGAAGATTGAAATAGGGTAACAGCCCTGACCTTGGAAGATAGGTAATTCCTACTGGAATTAACGGTAGCTGAAAGCTATGATCAGGAGACCCTTCTTCCAGCTTTGGCAGATCTACGAGTGGTAGACAGTAATTTATCTCTCAGTCAGACTACAGCGATTCGTTTTAAAGGGACTATCCTAGATGACTCTGAAGATTTAGCTCGTACATAATGTGGTCGCCCGCTTGCTCTCTGGTGTTAGTTGATTCAGCAGAATAAACTACATGATGTAGGAATTGCTTTGGTTGCCATTTGGCTTCTGGGCCAATTTAAGATGTTGGTGATTACCTGTAAAACCCTATGTGGCTTGGCCTCTCATTACTGTTGGGACTGTCTTTTCCAGGTAGAATCTGTCCACCCTACGCAGTCTAGCAGGGAGAGAATGCTTCAGGTGCCCACCCCGAAAGTGATCAGGGACTCAGAGAAGCACATTTGCAGGAGCAGCCCCTCCCTCTGGAACAGCATGCCCCTGGAGGTCAGATGTGCCCCTCCCCTTACAGCTTTTAGCAAAGTGGTTAAGATAGTTTTCTTTCATACGATATTTAGCTCGAAAGTCTTTTTAAGGGTAGCAATAGCTCTTATGAACAATACCAATAACTAAATGTATTAGTTGCTTTTATGTTGAGTTTTTATGAATGCTGTAATTTTGTATATTGTAAGCTACAAGTTACAAGAATAGGCAGTACGCAAATGTGGGTCAATAAATAGGCAGGGTTGGGCCTGACTACTACTTTGATGTGGAACCACTGAAAGTTTCAGGAACGTTGCTTAGACTGGATTGTTGGGAAACATCCTAGGGAGAAGTCAGTTACAAGGAGTTAACCTTGACTTATAAGAATTGTTAGCTTATTACTGAAATGAGACAATGAGAATAAATTTGACTTTGAAAGCCACTTGAAATTAATGTACATAACCATAAGAGAAAAATGTATTGATATTTATTTATAGCTATTAGATTTCTTAAATACTAAGTTGCATCTATTGCTTAGTTCTTTGTATTAGAAAAATGTTACATTGCATATATATTATTTTGGAATATTTGGGGATTATCCAGTAATGATTTAATTTTGGAATGCAGTTTTAGAGACTAGCATAATAAACAAGCCTTTTTCTGCATATTATATACTAAAAGTTGTATTTGTGTATAATTGTAATATAGTTCAAAGCCATAAAATAATTTCTTAGTTGTCTGGAAATATCCAGGAAAATAATATGGACAGTAGCTCTATTTTTATTAAATTGATATTCTGCCATTTATTTATTTCACATTTCTCAACTGCCCATCTTCCTCGGGGCCTCCTGGTTTCTAAGCTAGAACCATAACTACTGCACCAGACTGGCTCTAAGAGAAAAGACTAATTGCTTGGGCAGTTAAAAAAGTCAAGAAAACATGAATATATTTCACTAGACATTTAATTTATAAAATTAACAAAATGAGCAAAGTAAGGTCCCCAAAACAGAATTGTATTTTTCCTGTAACAAATAAATACTGTAGAACGTGAATTGCTTATTCCAAAACTATACTGTTTAGATTAATTGCATAAGTTTTGTACTATACTTTCTATTTTTTTTTCTTAACGCTTCTATCCTGCAAGTGTACCTTAACTAAGAAAGATGCTGCATTAGAAATACATGCCTTACATTTATTTTTGAAGGTCTTGGGCAGCATCTGGGCATCTGTAGTTAAGTAACAATAAACCAGGACTAGTTTACAGATTAAAATTGCAGCATTTTGATGGAATATACGCATTAAAATATTTTATTTTTTAATATAAATGTAAATTTCTTATTAGAAGATTGGTAAGCAGTTTTAAGATTCAGAGCTTAAGGGAATGGAATGTGGGAGAACAAGATATTTATTAGATCTTTTCCCAGACAAATCAGAAAATATTACAAAATACTAATGCTAGATTTTGAAACAAATGAGCAGTAGAACATGCTTTATGAATAAAAAAAATCAGCATGACTTCAACAAAGAGAAATTAATAATTTAAGAATATCAAAAAAAAATATAGTAGTTGACATTATGGACTTTAATATTTTTTTGACATAATCATCATCCAGATTCTTGAATGAACTTAATCACCATGGAACTGGATCAGAGATAGAACATAAGCATAAGTGGAATACTGGAAGTTGTACAATTAATTGGCTGATAAGCTGAAACATTTCAGTCTGTAGAGATGTTTTACTTTTCTTTTTTATATTATCCCTACAGAAGGTCGTGCCCAAAAAGAAAAGAAAGCTGCTCGTGCTCGTTCCAAGGGAAAAAACTCTGATGAAGAAGCACCAAAAACAGCCCAGAAGAAGCTGAAATTAGTTCGCACGTGAGTGGGTGGGAAGAAGCAGCAGACTTAGGCCACTAGTTTGTGTCCTAGTAGGTGTTGCTTGATCTTCCCTAGATCAGTCTACTCCATTTCCAGCACCATTGTTCTGCTCATGCTTTCTCTAAATTTGAGTAGATAAAGTTCCTATGAGGCACGTTGTAAAAGGTGTCCCAAAGGTGCTTTTTCCAAAAGGCCACTGGGCTTTCTTGGTTTTTTGTTTGAAAACATTTCACTTCTCATTCAAGAAACATCTTCAGTTCTGACTGGTGGGGAATGGAAGGATTTATATTCTTTGCAGTCATCTGGTCGTTAGCACTCTCAGGTGCTAACCCTGAAACCAATCATTTATAATAATAAGTGGTTTAATTGATATAGATTGGAGGGAATTCTCCTTGGGTCATTTTAAAAAAAATCTTCCTAACTCAACTTTTTCCTAACTTTTTCCATTTAAAGCAGCACAGATTATGGGATGCCTTCAGTGACCTTTGGAAATGTCCACCCTTCTGATGTGTTGGATATGCCCGTGGATCCCAATGAGCCCACCTACTGCCTCTGCCACCAAGTCTCCTATGGGGAGATGATTGGTTGTGACAACCCTGACGTAAGAAGAGAGTCTTGCTAATAGAGGGTGGAAAATGAGGGGAGCTAAGCAAATTAGACATAACGAAAGACATAAATGGCCTTATTACTTTTTTATAGAAATCAACTTGGAACTTTTTATGTTCTTAACAAATTGGCAGGGTGGCACATTTGCATATATAAACTTCTTAAATTGCTAAGTTAGTCTTGCATTAGTTTTCCAGGTGTATTCATTTTTAAAAGTGAACATCTAGGGAAACCCTTGGATTAGGATGATTATTATTATGTGCTAGGTGCTTTGTTTAGAAAGAGAATCCTTTGCTTCAGGAGCCTATTTCCTTGCCAAGCCTGAGCTTTTTTGCACCTCCAAAATGTTACTTTTCCCTTTCTGCACTATTTTAAGAAATATTTCCACTTGAATTCATTCTATCTGAAGCCATTAAAAGTATCCCTACATCCAAATATCTATATATATTTCAATAGCTCTTCTATCAGTATTTCACCTCCCCACCCCTCATAAAAGAAGCTATAGATGGAGGTGGCATTTCGTGAAACAGTTATGCATGTGTGTGCCCACAGTTTATAAACCTTTCCTTTAGATTAGGGAGAGTGGATGTTGGGCATGCTTTTGATGGTTGACGGATAGAACTATTGCATGGGCAATACTTCAATGCAGGCAGGACTGCATCACAAATGCAGTGGAAAGCATACTGTTTTCTGTTTTGGGATTATTTTATGGGTTGCAGAAGATACTCCTTGAGCCTTTTAAATTGTACTGGTCTTTGATTGTAATGAACTTTTGACTTACTGACTGACCAGATTGCAGTAGATATTCAGAGTTTTTAGAAAAGTATGAAGCTTCTTGTAAAAAAAAAGTCTAAATTTACATTTGTGCAATCTAAACTGCAGAAACCATGCTGTCACTTTTTAGCACTTAATGGTCAATGAGCACTCAGGAAAGTGCTTCAAGGACCAAATGCTACCCTGGGCACTTAGTCATTCTTCCGTGCCCTACATTTTTCTATCAAAGTGCGAACAGCCTGAAGCATTTATCCAATCTGCCCCATGCCCTCATACAGAGAGCCAGTTTGTTTTAGTAGTTAGGGACCAGCCTACAAAGTGGGAGATCATGAGTTCGGTTCTGGCCATAGCCATGAAAGCCAAATTGATGACTTTGGGCCAGTCACTCTCAGCCCAATTCATCTCACAGGGTGACTGTTGTGGGGAAATCAGGAGAAAGAAAGTGAGTTGGATATGTCCACAGCACTGTGTTATTTGTAAAAAATAAAAAAGGCAGGATAAAAATCAAATAGCTAAATAAATAACTTTTTACCACCGGCTGAATAGCTGCAGGTTACTTTGTTCCATCCTCTTATACCCTGTTTCTCCAACAATACAGCCTCCCCTAATAGGAAGTCCCAGCATGTTTTATAGGCATGAAATGAAATTAAGCCCCTCCCCCCAAATTAAGGCCTATATTAAAACATGCGAAATGGGGGGGAATGGTGGGGCTTGCCGTTAGGAAGTACTTTTGTTGCACACCCGGATATGGTGCTGCCTGCGTTGACCCCAATATGAAGTGCCCCACCAACGCCGAGGTCAACATCCAAGCCATCGCTGCCCGCCCGCCCGCCCGAAGATGCAAGGGGGGGGAATTAAGTCACCCCCCCAAAAACAGCCTAGCCATTTTTTCGGGGCTCAAAAAAAAATATAACCCGGCCTTATTATATGAGAAACACGGTAATAGTGTATCAAAACTCTACAAAAGTGGTCAGGAAAGAGGTTTTGCGTTAGAGCCATGTTCTGATTCCATTGGAATTAGAATTAAATCATTAACAGTTGCCAGAAGAATACTGATTCATCTCTATGTGATTTGTATCCTTTACTAGTGCTCCATTGAATGGTTCCATTTTGCTTGTGTCGGCTTGACAACAAAGCCAAGAGGGAAATGGTAAGTAACTCTACTCTCTAATCCCTGGTTTTCTTTGTAGGACTTTTGAAATGTTAGGACATCAAATTTTGATCCCTGATAGAGGAGGATCTTTTCAAAAATCAACAGTAAGGAGAATCACTCCTATTCGTATGTTTATTCCTATACAAAAGTTTGTTTACTTTCGATAGCTTAAAAATGTTGTGGCATTTAATCAAATCTCAACTTAATAAGGTTTGTGTATTCTATTCCCATGGACAAGGAAATAAACCAGGAAGCCAGAAGAAACATTGCATTAAAAACTACTGGCTTTCAAACTTAATTAAAATATTAATTATGATCTCTCCATTTGGCCATGCATTATTATTGTCAGGACTTTAGAACGTACAGTTCATCCCCAGATTTCTCCTACCAGTCCCATTAGTGATTTCTCAGACTCCTAAGGATCTTGCCCTATAAATGAAAGAAAAATTGTTCTGGCATCTTCCAGCAAGTGACAAAGATCTCTTGGAAAACTTAAAATCATTGGATACATTCCATTTGCCATATCAAGGCCACAATTTTAGCATCCAATTTCATGTGTAAATGAAATGAATCTTCTCCATTGAGCATTTGGAACCCAACTCCTGCATGACCACATGTTGAAAAAACTTCAACTGTATTATTCAGAATTTGAATTCTACATGGTTACTGGTATGACTATTTATATATAGATTTTATGTACAGATGTTTGAGAGTAGTACAAAATATTTGAGAATGGTAGTGTAAAAATAATGCTTTAAAATATTATTAGGTTATTTTTTGTTTGCAGAATTGTCGGCTTTTTTTTTCGGTATCCTTTTTTTTTTCTTGGATAGCATTGATCCCCCAATTATTGCTTTGCCTTTTCTCCTTGATACAGGTTCTGTCCTCGCTGTTCCCAGGAAAGGAAGAAAAAATAAATTTGATCATCTTCCAAGGTCCAGATACTGTATCCGAAATACCCAGCTCTGCAGTTGGGGTTCAGCACTCTTCTCCCAGTTCCTGGGGCTTCGTTAGGTAGGGGTCCCCCACTCTGGGTGAGCAGAGCTACTTGTGAATGGCTTGTATCCATTTGATGGTTCCTGTGTGTACTGAAACACTCACTGCTTGTCCTTGAGAGGAAGATGAAGTCAGTCGTTGTCCTACAGCCTTTTTTTCCTGCATAGGTTTTAAAACCTGCATCAGCTTAAAGGAACGAATTTTTCTTGATGGGGGAATATCTGATTGAAGAAACTGCAGATTTCCTTCCAGACTTACTAATTGGTGTTCCAGAGGAGAGGCCATCCGGTCAACCCTTCATGCAGTATGTCACTTAAGAAGACAGGCTTCTTCTTCTCCCTTCCTTCTCCACTACTACAACATTCCATTTTTCAAAGGGAGGGAGCTGTACAGAGGCAACTGGAAAGGGATTCATTTTTGTTCATGGGGAAAATATTAAAAAGTGAGATTTTTTTTCCCCCGTCCGAAATATTTCATGGATTTTGTAATGGAAGCCAACCAGGCTCCAGTCTTTTCTTGGTGGTGCTTGTTTTAGGGGGAAACCCCATATTGTAAAATATGCATTAAATAAAACCAATTCAATACATGTCATGAGTGATTTTCACTTTTGAGTGGACTTTTGAGTTTATCTAATTATACAAAAAGTTCCTAAAGGGATAGTGGGAGAATTTTGTTTGGGTATCTAAAAGAGAAGCGAGGCATTGGATGAACCTAAAGTGAAAGGAATTGTGGGGTCTGTATCACTGGTTAAAAAATAATTCTATAGCCATCAATGCTTCTGAAGATAGGAGCAATTGAAAGAGGACAAATGATAGCTAAAATATTACCAGAACTGGGTGATAAGTGGGCTATCAAAATACATTCAGAGGTTAGTGGTATTGATAGAAAGGAAAATTGAGTTTTATCATAGGACCTTAAAAGTGATGCATACTATCTCTCTTCTGGTTTTGTCTCCACAATAATACTATGAGGAACACAGAGAAACCTGGCAAATGCGTCCTTGTGATTTTCCATAGATGAAGGTGTCTTGAATGTAGACCCTAATCCTAGCCTACTAGAAATGCTGACTGAATTTGTACCGGATTGTATAGTTTTATATAACCCTTTCCTTGCACATTAATAGATCGAACGTTGCTTTCAGGTCATAGTATTTTAGTTCAGCAGCCCTATAAATCCATTAAATCAATACATAAATTCCCTGCTTATCACTCTGCATTGTACTGATGCTGTCCAATCAATCGATTTCTTACTTAAATGCATATCTTTTGGGATGGAGTGGGGGAAGTCAATCTTGATTTCTGGCAACTTGATGCCTTCAACTTTCTCATTCTGCTGACTTAAGAAAATAACCGATAAATCAATATTGTGTTGCATCCTTCGCATTAACAAGAGGCATAATAATTTCTCTCAAATGAATCCAAGAGTATGTGTTGTGGAATTCCCATTCATTTCACAATAAAGTTTTCAATAGGCTGCATCTACAGTCTGTCTGCCCACTATATTCTGATTTTAACAGCAACCAAAGGCCAGGAACATAGAGAAACCTGTTGCTTTACAATATGATGGCTGCTGTTGACTCCTTATCTGCCTTAGGGTCCATTTCCTACCAGCATTTTTAACCTGCCTGCAAGATTCTTGTTTCTCCTGCAAAAGCTTCAACTGTGAGGTCATTGTGTTCTCATTCTAAAAGTGTTTGGTCTTGTTGGCCTTTGAAATGGGGTGTATTGGTGAGAAGTGGAGAAGCCTAACATGAAAGAAGCAAAATGCCACTCCTGAGATTCAGGACCTCACCATGGGCCTTTCTGGTGGGTGAGTGGCTGACTTACCTGTATGTCAGAAATTATCCAAACTACTGTTTTTCTATCAAATTTGGCTTAATCCACAACTGCCATTGTACCTGCTAGTCTCAATATTTTACCCCATGGTCTCTAGCCAACCGTTCTTGCTAATATGGAATGAAACAAAAGTCCTGAGTACTGATCCATTTCTTCTCATATATTGGACCATTGCCACCTGATAAAGCTGGGAAGGATGAATCTGAACCTGCATTGCTTCATTTTAAAGTCTTCCATGTGCATATTAGGAAAAGATTTCCCCCTTTGCTTTTGCTTTATACATGGCAGAACATTATTTCTTCGCATTGCACTTGGAGGAAAAAAATGACTTATAGAAATGTTTCACATTAACTGAATTTATGTCTGTTCTACTTTGGGATTTATATTGAATCAAATCAGAATACATGCTCGTTAAACAAATTGAAGAAACTCTTTTAAATGACTTTAAAATATCCAGACATGTTACATCTGTATTTGAACAATAAACCACCTTATATTTCAGTCTAGAAAAGCCTTCAAAAGAAGAAAGGAATATATCTTAGGGAAGCTGATATAGCTCTTTATTTCAAGGAAATCTAAAAGTGGTGTTATTCAATTTGCATAACAAAATACCAGATTTAGTTTGTTTTGGTTTTTAAGTACTGTAGCTTATGAATTCCCAATGATTTCTATGCACATTTATTCAGCATACACCCCATTTTCTTCAAGAAAAATGGCACACAACAGAATTTACATGTCCTAATTCTTAACCATTTTTACTCTTACAAGGCCTTTTAGAATTGAGAAAGATCGCTTCTAAAGGAAACTTCAGGCTCCTAAGAAGTTTTGCTTCTCATCAGAATCCCAAGATCAATTCATCAGAGCCTGATGCATATGTAAACCCAAAATTAAACATTTCTTAGAATGGTAATTTGCCTTTGAGTTTCAGAATTTATCTCAGTTCAAAGCTTTGTCATAAATTCATTTCTATCTCCAAACTTTTATTTCAGCAGTATAGTTTGGAGGGAGAAATGGAATTCTTTTTATTATTGGAAGTCTAATCTTGTTACACTATTGGAAGTTATCAATTGACCAGTTTATTTTCTGCTCATCAGTTTTGTTGAAATATTGGAAGTTGATGCCAGTGCTCTTTAGAGTTTATTGATATTAATAAAATTGAGGTAGCGTTGCTCTTTCCTGTCCCCCCCCCCACCAATTAATATATTTCCTTTCTTGTGCTGTTTTTCCTTCAGGATTTCCAATCTTTTTGACACCAACAATCCAAAGTTCCTTGTCCTCAAACCCAGGCAGCCCACTCACGGACGATGAATATAAGGTCTTTTTTTCTTCCTTGAGTCCTACATGGAAGGCAAACCTGGTGTGTCAGATTCGCCGTAACAAAGGTTGCCATGATCCTAAAATAATAGAACTGGATCAATTTGAGAATCATGGCCAGATCCCAGAGGGTATGTGGTGCACATTTCAGATTTCTTCCGGCACCTTTTGTGATGAGAGTTGCTGGTATCACTCGATTTCCCATATATAGTTTTTCATAACCTGTAGTTAAAAACTACATTTAACCCTGAAATATATATTTGTATACTATAGTAATAATCTTCCACTTTTTAAATACAGTGATCCATCTTTTCCCCCAGCTCTGCACAGCGTGGGACACAAATTTTATTTGGTCAACATTCCTTCCTCTTTGTTCATATCCACACTGAAGACATACTGTGACTTTACAGATCACCAATCTTTTATTTTTTTTTATTTTTTTTAAATGAAAACCTAAAGCTTTGAGATTATCTTTATCATTTTGACATCTATGCTGATATCCATAGTTTTATCATAATTGAATAGTCTATATCTTTCTGTCTATAAAGAATATAGTGAAGTGTCGACTAATTTAGTGTGCTCTGTTGGTTTGCATTTTATGCAGGGCTAGAACTCTTCACTTGCCAAGACACTACCAGGCTGTGAATTAACAAGCATTAGGAAATCTCTCCATGAAAAGAAAATAACTTAGTAGCATCTCTCCCCCATTTCCCCACTAACCATGCATTTGTTTGCGTGTATGTGTCTATAGACAAAACTCCTCTTTAAAGGTAGAAGATGATAGCAAGGGAAGATGAGTTGCTAAATGAGTGCAAAGGCCCCTCATGGGATTGTTCTGTTACAAGATGGCAGTAAATCTAAGTTCAAAAGCTTGAATCATTGTGACCGTGGCAGCGCGGGTACTAAACTTCATTCAACAGCTTTCCTAAGTGGAGTGGTAACAGTCAAATATCAACCAAAATAAGACAGTTATCAATGCCAGAGCAAGACAGCCTTGTGAACATTAATCCTCTATGGAATTGGGGGAAGAGAGGCTGAAGATTGATTGCTGGTGCTATGTCTGCCCTAGTTTCAGATAGAAATAAAATGCTAAAGCTGAGCAATAGTGCTGGGAAACAAGATATGCAGTAAGAAGGCTCTCCAATGAAAAATGGACAGCTGAACAGTGTCAGGAAATAAGCAGCCAATTTTCTTTCACACCTACAGGGCCTGAGGAAACGTCACATTAGAATTGAAATAATTTTTTACTTCTCAAATCAGCCAGTAGAGGGGGCATTAGGCCAGTGGGTTATATATAATTGGATTGACATTCATTTCTTTCCAATATAGAGCACTTAGGAATTGCAGTTCTATAGGAAAGAATAAAGGTCCCATACAAAGGAAAGTTAGCCTCTGTACTAAACTCGTTCCCAGTAGCTTGGCAGGATGACCATTGTGAGGAACTGTATAGAACTCTTTTCTCAAATGTAAATAGATAAGACTTTTTAATCTATTCACATTCTTCCATGGATACTACTTTCTTTAGATCAAACAACGACCCAGTTGAATCCCTAACACTAGGTGAGATATAAAGGCCCTAAGGAGAGGTGAAGGTGCTGTAAAAGAGGTGAAGATTTTTATGCATGGAGGGGGAGGGGTTTCTTGGAAATTAGTGTAGGTATGTATCTCTATATACTTGTACTAGCAGCAGCAGCAGCACTTCCAAAAGTGTGGTTCTTTTCTTTCTTTCTTTCTTTAAGAAATTTTTTATTAAATACAATTTTTAAAAACATTGAACGTGTTGGATTTCTTTGACAGACATTTTTTGTCATTACATTGATGATATGATTCTTTTCTTGATGTCACATTCAAAGCTAAAATATTGCCATAATAGGACAAAGAAGGGCTATGGAGCTGCTACCAAAAGATGATCTGGGGAACAGTTGTATAAAATTAGCTTATGCTAATTTTACTTAGACACCCTAACTAATTTTTGAAATGTACCTGTTGAGTTTTTTTTTTTATTTATTTCTTACTTTGGAATTCAGGTTGCTGTTTGAAATGCTGTACTGTACAATACCGTAATGCATGTTGCCGTTCTTAATATCTTGCATTTTGGAAGTAAAATGTAATGCTATGTTAGAACATTTTATATTGTGAGACTTCTCATTGGTTTAAGGGACAAATTATGAAGTTTTCTCTTTCACAATGTATTGGACAGATTAAACGTTCACTGCCCATTGATGTTAATGAACATAGCTATTTTATTAGTATTGGTATGAGTTCATTCATTTCAAATTTGTCTCGTTGCTATCTTGAGAGAAAATTTGTTCTCTTCCACCTTCTGCTTCCAGGTCCTATCTGTACTGAACTTTCCCAAAGCCCACATTTTGAGACTTTTTGTGTTTTTGCACAGTTCCGATGCTTAAACCAGAAGTTCTACACCAAGGTATGAGCAAGTATATATCTTACAGCCATTTTACAGGGGTCAATCCTTTAGTAG